CCCCAAAACCCCAAAACCCCAAAACCCCAAAACCCCAGATGCCACAACTAAAATTGAAGAGTTAAATATAAATGGCTAGATTTTAGCTGAGCGATTTCTGAAGTCTGAGTTATCCCTAATTCTCTCTCCCATTCGAGTTCTCCTATGATTAAGTGTTATTTTGATGCCTTGAATAATACGAAATACTAAAGAAAGTGCCCTTTGGGACCAAGAACTTTGACTTCACCAGACTCCAAAGTAGAATATTCTTAAAAATTCTTTTTAATGTAGAGATGTCAAATCTAATAATTTTCTAGCCATGAAAGGTTAATTATGAAATAAAGCACTTACAGATTTCAAGTCAGAGAATCCCTTGTTACTTGGCTGGCTCATTAACTCAAAGTTGTTGTTCTGAAGATGTGAGAAACCAGAGATATCATTCAACTTTTTGTGGCTACCGACCGAATAATTGTCCCCAAATTGCTCCTTCTGATGGTCAATGTCAGAGATATAAGAGTTGTTGTCTAAACTGTACATGTATGGGTTAGCAACCTTAGGATTTTTATGCAAATTCTGGATGAATTCGTCTTCTCCTTGACTCCCAGAGATGGATTTAACTTCACAGATCTTATCCCAAGCATCATTCTCCATTCTCATATTATTTCTGATTGCTTTCTTTTCTCTCTTATTTGGACTTTTTGTCAGATGTCCGAGTCTTGAAGCTCTTTCTGACATCATGTTTGAAAGAGGCCCATTCTCTATCATGTGAGAGTGATTCACAATTTCATTACTCTTTCCGAGGCCTTTAAAGTCTGGGCAGTTATAGGGCATCAGCTCCTGGCTAACCATATTGGGAGAGCCTCTGTTTGAAATAAACAGGTTTGATGCATTGCTTGTATTCAAAAATTTGCTCAGTTCATTTGAAGGCATGGTATTTATGAATCATTTCACAAAGCTAGTGAACATGTTGTAGAGGTTATTGTCCATCATAATGTGCTTATCTGATATAGCCTTATCCTTAATTTGTTCAGCATATTTCTCGTTCATAATAGGTTGATGAGTGTTAGAAACATTCATTTGGTTATCTAGGATAACCTTTTCTAATTGAACTACCCTTTCTCTTGATTTCTCAAGTTGGTTATAAAGGCACAGTACGCTATTCTTGAATTCCTTATTGGTCTGGTTGAGTTGATCGATTCTCTTGTTCTGTTCGTCAATTCTCTGGTTAACACTCTCAAACATGACATTAACTTCTTCTTTAGTGATAAAAGGAGAGTCAGAGGAAGTAGTTGACTTGTTCTCAGCCTTCTTTCCTTTAGTTGCTTTTCGTTTCATATTCAGAAGGAGTCTCTTGTCATCTCTCTTAAAGTCAGGATGTGCGAAACAATTATCTTCATTCTTGCATTTAGTTTTCTTAAAGCCGTAAATGTTTAACTGTCTCACGAATGTGGAGAGATTCTTATGCTTGAAGTACTTTGGAAGTACTTTATCACTGAATTCATTTTTGTTGGTAATTATAAACGCGTCCCCTTCTTTGTTCCATCTTACAATTTCAGTATACTTTGGATCAGAAACAATTTCATAAGCCTTTAAAGGGAAAGAGGGGACGTTGATGAATTCTGTCACGCTCATTTGATTATGAGGGTCTCGACTTTGGATTTCGTCGATGTCTTCGGCTTTTGTTTGCATATTTAAACTGAGTATAGAATATTATTTTATTAAATTTTCTCAAAATTGGGGTTTTGGGGTTTTGGGGTTTTGGGGTTTTGGGG